GGGGTAGTGTCTGTTGTTCAGGGGTGGGTGTGACGGCACTGAGGGCAGTGAAGTGCAGTGGGGGTTGGGGGTCGTGGTGGGAATGTTCAGGTTGGGGGGAGGGGCCGGGTGGTGTGTTCTGGGTCAGATAGGGGTTTTTCGGTCCTTTAGGGGTGTTGGGGGGGGGGTGTCAAAGGGGGGTGAATTTTTTATTTTTTTTTCAGGTTTGAGTGTTCGCGCACGTAGGCACACGTGTCCCAGGCCCAAAGCGAGAATTCCGTTTTTCGGAATTCAACGCCAAGCCCCCGTTTTTGCATTAAACGGGATTTAACGGGGGTCTTGGGGCCCGTTAAACGGATGAACGACCATTGAATTTTGCTCGTTCTCCGTTCAAAAGATACACAGCCCGTCTGTAGAAAATCAATGACGAAATCAACCTTTCTCTGCCGATATGAACGTTGAGACCCTCTTTTACGTCATGTATCGCGAGAGTCTGAGGCATCGGCGATTCCGGGAACGTTGGGAACGGGAGCATGCCTATCAGGCTGCGCGACCTCGAGCCCCAATGCCAGAATTTCCTTACCACACTAAAACAGAGCGCGTATGCGAGTGGGACATCGAATGGGCCTTAAGCGTGATCCCCTTTTTGGCCCAATTTCCCCACTCGCATACACGCCACGTCATCGTCGAACTTGGAATAGCCATCGTCAAGACTAATTACCTTCCCTACCGCCTCGCAATCCCCTTTCACTGCCTTACAGCGTCCCCTGGTGCGCGATCGGTCCGTACTGGCCACAGACCCTGTGCTCAGAGTGTCGGCAAAACCGCGGTTACTGCACGGCGGGATTTGTTCGCCGAACCCGGACTCCGGCAGACCAACGATCCCACAGCCTCTGACTGAGACCAGCCTCGTCGGATTCCGAAGTTTGCCACGAGCGGCGTCAGCGGCTGATCACCCAACGCGACACACACAACGTCTCGATGGTCCATCGGATACGGGACCAACCGCGACGACGCCACTCACCCAGGAGGTAGTCCGGTCTCCCATAGATATAACTCGGGATTGCCCGCTTGCTCAACTACCCCTAAGCTTGCCATGGGAGATCTCGGTTCTGACCTGGGACTCCACTACAATTCCCAGAATCCTTGGCACACCCCTTTTTGCACTTCCGGGCCTCCATCCCACTCCGAACAGGAAGTCGCGCTGAGCGTGAGGTTGGTATCGGAGCCGACATGTGTCAAGACTGAGGATTGACAAGTTGCCCGACTCCTCTGGTCAACGAACCTGGCGAGTCCTAGACGGGGACGAGCTAGACAGAAAAACGCGCGGGTGCGCGATCCAATAATAACTAGAAGTCGCTCCGCTGGAAGACACGCGGGCAACATGAACGTCAATCTGGCGCAAAGTGGGGCGAACCAACCGAATTTGGCTCCCCCAGCCTCCATGTGCTCGCGCCCCTGCTGCCCCCCCCGATCTATACCTATTCAATCCTGCGCACCACTTGGCAGGAGCATGGCGTGCCACGCTCCGAGCGCAACAATACGATAAAAATGAAGCCTGGATCAACGTCCCTGCTCGATTGGGCGAAGACGCACACCATTGGTTTAGCACATACACATGGATTGATCTCCCGACGTTTGAAAGAGATTTCCTACACCGATTTGATTATATTCATCCCGAGCAGGCATTCTTCCTGATCAAAGATCGGGTGCAGAAGCCGCTCGAATCCGTAGCAGAATACCGAAGTCGATTCTACCAATTATTTATCAAATCACAGATGAAAGAGACAGCCGGTAGGGAATTTTTCATTGACGGACTCCGAAGCCGAGCAATGAGGGTCAAATTGCGAAAGCAATTTTCCCCCATTACCCACAATCTTCAACAAATAATGGATGTCGCCGAGGAAATGGAGCGGAAGTTCGCTGCCTGTTTCCTCGAAGGCGAGGATCATGGTAAAGAAGGGGATACGTCCGAACTTACACGAGCCCGACTGGAGCTCGCGACGCTGCAAAACAAATTTGAAAACATGGGCTTTGTCGGAGGGCCCGTCACCTACCTGGAGCCGGTCAGGGTGCAAAAGCCGATGGCCAACATGGCCCTCGGACCAGTTGTTATGGCGTTTCCGGCTCCCCCGCCCCCAAAGACCGAAGAACCAAGCGCTATCCTAGAGCTAACACGAACATTGGTGAACCTTATGTAGGAAAGTAAGAGGGAAGAACGGTAATATAACGCCCGAATGGAAACACTACTCCACTCGATTCGCCCCATCACGGTTCCAGCTACTCCCATGGGAATGGGAGCCGCGCAGGCAACAGGTGTCGTCTCAACAGAAACAGGTGCACGAGTCGATGGTTGCTACACGTATCACCAACCCGGACACATAGCGCGAGACTGTCCCAACGACCCATGACTCTAACTGATGGCTCTCGATCGTCCGTCCCCTACTACAAGTTCGTTAAGTTGTGTGCGGTGGACTCGAAGATGGGATATATGTACTATTCCTCACAAGATGCTCCACTATCGCTCACCGAAGTTGATGATTCGGGACTTCCAAATGGGTCAGGGAATACCATGTCTTCAAAGTGGGGACCAGTTCGTGGCGCGGAGTTCCAATCTCAAAGCCTTGTTTCGAATAGTAGCAGTTCCCTTTACTTTCTGCAGACTGATGGCCGAGTGCTAGTTAACACAACACTTGGTGAAATCATTAAGACTAAAAAAAATATTCCTAAGTTTTTTCGGATCTAAACCCAAACAATATTTAACATTGACATGTTGAGAAAACAGTTAGCGCAACACTTGCTGAAATCATTAAGACCGGAAGAAATATTCTCAAGTTTTTTGTGATATAGGACTATATACCCAAATAATATTTAACATTGAAATGTTGGGAAAAAATATTCTTAAGTTTTTTCGGATCTAGGACTTACAACCCGAATAATATTTAGCATTGAAATGTTGGAAAACCAGTTAGCATAACACTTGCTGAAATCATTAAGACTGGAAATAATATTTTATAGTTTTCTATGATATAGGACTATATACCTAAATAATATTTAACATTAACACGTTATTCATTAAAATAGTACATTAGTTTTTAAATAGTACTTTTGTCGTTCGAGAAACTCGAAAGGTATACACGGCTGACGAAAGAAGATGCTTTTTATACATTAATACACAACGATAAGACTCCCTGTTCAACGGATAAATCCTCAACACATTTAATTTGTTTCAAGACGAAAAATTCAATTATGGAAGTCAGATACATCCTTGCTAAACTGACACACATTCAGACAGTCAGTATGAATGTAGCATATCGAAGGTTTCCCCTTGTGAGGGACGCATATGAGTGACCCGAAAAAGGTCTTCGTTGACGCTTTAAAGGGTGCATGGGAGTGACAAGAATAACTCATTTTTGAAGTTTATTTGAATACAAGCAGGATGAGTAGGATATATCCGAATCACATGTTTCGACATCCATAATACACAAGTTGGCAAGTTTTATAGTAAAACTTGGATATATCCAAATCAAATATTTCATTATTCGGATGGAGAAAATCCGTTATGTTATCAACCGTGCGTCATTCATTAAATATCCTTCACTCAATCAAAAGGTTGAACTTATGATCATAGCCCGGATCACCCTCCGAGGGAAAGTTAACCAATATGTTATCATTCCAAGAACAATTATAGCTTACCAGACATTTCTTAAAACAAAAGGGCGTCGGACGGAGTGAAGTGGTGGGCAGCATTATGTAGAGATGTTATCATTTGCCGCTTGCCAGGTTCGACCTCGCAACCATGAACTTGTAACATCCCTACCCAATGCTGCCCACCACTCCGCCACTGTCTTCGCCGAGATCAAATAATGTATATTAACAAATCAAAGTGCACCGTCGGGAACCCCTTAAGAACTCTGGTAACCATCAGTCTTAAATTTCAACTAGATGGCGGATGCACGTA